GTTTACGATATTACGACTCTTCAATATTCTCCTCCATACATTTCTTTATATTTCGAACAAACGACCAGACATGCCGCTTGTGTGGGCCTCCTGTGTGCATACATGTCCACGCCTGCACGCGACGAGAAGAGAGTTCTTACACAGGATGGCACAGTCCCTTATCGAATTTGTTTACCTCTGAACGAAGCGATAACTTAGAATGAGCGATAGCTAAACTGGTTCTAAAAAAAAAAAAAAAAAGAAGGGCAATCAGTTTAATCAATTAACGAACACCAAGAATAAAAGAAATGGGATATAGTGGATCACTTAAGAAGGAATAAAGACCAAAGTGAGAAGGAGGGCGGTTAAACATAGACAAAATTTAGATTACAGCAAATGTAAATCACAACTGGCTTCAAAGAAATCCAGTGACCTTCAAAATGGATACAAGCAATTGATACTGATTAAACTTACAGATGTTGTAAAGCAGAAGAAGGAAATTCTGCACCAACGGTTGAAAGAGAGTTTCTGGTTCGCCTACTTGCCAAATAATAGCCTTGAATAAGATCCTGTGCTGCCACTGTCAGGCTAACGTGTTTTTGCCCAGCATGGTGAAGGAACTGAAGAAAGAAATTCCAAAGACAAATTACAGCGAGACACAAGTAACACTTTTGCATTGAACTGGGCCCAGTTGTATAAATGGCGGATAAAATTATCCAACGGATAAATCGCTATCCAGCGGATAAGTAATAGCAAAACGTATAGCGCTTTCCACCAGATAAAAATTTAGCCACTCGTAGATACCGTTATCTAGCCTTCGAACAACCGGGGCCTGGACTTTTCCTTGGACGTAAGGCATGAATGGGTGGTTTTGTGTCAAGTCCAATTTCCTAAGAATGAGGGACAGCCGACAATACTCATTCTAGTTAAAATTTTTGTTAATGTATGCTTGTTTTACTATTCTTACATTCCTTCCTTAATCTGATGCTAAAGGAACTCTCTTTACCTGGCTAATTTCCTCGTCACTAATGTACAAGGCATCTTCTTCATCCTCGTCATGATCTAAGGCTTTCCTTAAAACTTCTTCGCTCACTGACTCATCAGAATTGTCATGCTGCTCTGCTGATCCACTCAGGTTAAACACTACTGAAAACTGACTACGGGTAGAAATGATATCTTAATAGAATGTTAAGCGAGATCAAGAAAGATTAGAAATGGTAAGGCACAGCAGAAGACAAGTGTGGGTTCAAAATCAGAAAAATGATCTTAACATAACAAATAATCACATTCATTTCACACTTACTCTGTCTAATTGTACTTACTCTACAAGGGCTCTTGGCAAATTTGAACATTCCTGCAGAAAGCAATAAGTTAAAAAAAATGTACATCTTAATACATAGAAGTGACTAGGTAGGCAAAAACAAAGTGCCAATTGAATTAACACACATACAAGTAAACATAAAATGAACATGCCTTTACTGGGTGACCTAGGTTTAATATAGGATCATAGTCAGGGATGGTATGATGACTGGATTTCTGTGACGGTTCAGAACACACCCATACACTACTGGTTAGTGGTATAGTGACCTGGCGACCTTGATAAGACCCAAACTTTTCTGGTACCTTCACTGCCATACATCCATTCTCTAAAGCTAGTGGAGAGGAAGTCCACAGAAGAAGTAATAAGCAACTAGTCTAAGATCTCTTTAACAATTCACGACAAAGACAGAATAGTTCATTTGTATGGAGATCAAAATGATGAGTAATGCAAAAGGCTTTCATGAAATTTCATGCTCAAAACTTGCAAAATATTTTGGTGTTGCTAACTGGAATAAGACTTGAAAGGCAGACGTTACACTTGATGATGTCATGTATGCATCTGTCCTCCAATAGATCATTGGTAAGAACCAATCAAAATACAAATGATTCAGCTTGTCATATAAATCCTCACAGCAAACAACCTTTTAAACCTGATCCTAATAATCAATGGGAGGTAATTTCACTGATCTATTGAGATTATTTAAAATCAACAAAATTTAAGCTGTGGTTTATCTCCTATTTATAATAAGGTTATTAAGCACAACCACAAGAGAATGATTTTCATTATTAATACCATATTGAAGCCTATCCTTTTGATCTTTCTTTAAGACAGCTGCATTAGGAATCAGACAAACACCATCAGATGCAAGGGAGATGCATCCAGCTGAAGCAAAGAAACAACAAAAAAACTATAAACTTTAAGATAATCATGACTGAGCAGATGAATAAACCACAAAAGTGATCTATTAACATTCTTTTACAAGAGAACATAGTTACACATAGTTGTACAACTGTGTACCTGTACCTTATGGAGAGCATTTGAGATCTGACCTGTCCCCACCCTGCCCCCCAGAAAAACCTTTCTATGAATAAGTTTCTTAAATAAGAGTATGTTAAGTTTGAAACACCATTCTCAGTCCCTGGAAATTCAATTTATTTCCCTTGAGGGAGGATTGGATACAACTTCTTGGCTGCTAAGAATTTTAGATTCACAGTTTTAGTAAAATATTTCTCCAAAAACTTTTCTTTGTATTAGCCTCACCATTAATCATGTATGCGCCCGAGCCAAAAGGATCTCGGCAACAGGATGGGAATAAATCGCTTGGAGGGGAATGAACAAGCATTCTCTTTGCAAATGACATCACATAAAGAAATAGCCTTTGAATCCTAAGAAGGTCATCAGCAATGACAAGCATGTGAAGATGCCTGGAGTTTCCTTGTTTAGTATCTTCTGGACAATCAGAAGAGTGAAGAATCAGTAGGGACATGAGCAGGAACACTTTTAGATGAAAGAACGTTCCAGGTGGTGTCACAGATGCTACAAGAGAAATATGACGATCTGCAACATGTATTAATTAGATAATGTATTTGATAATTACTGCTCACAAGTCCAAAACCAGTCCATGGAAAAAATCTACAATTTCAATTTTTTTTTTCTCAACACTATACCTACTCTTCCCCCATCTTTAAAGAAGACATTTATCTTCCTGTGTACTGTATTACTCTTTACATGACCTATACTGTCAACTTGACTGACTGGTCTTTTTCTCTTGAAGGTCTGATGGCTTGCTGAAAATGCTGCTTCAAGTATGAAATTGTTGAAGAACCAAAATCAGCCAGTCAGAGCGTGACCAAGCTACAGTTGAACCTGTTTTAATTAGTGGTAACCCGCAAGGAATGGAGGGGTGACTGCTAAATATAAGTTCCACAGATTAGGGGTATTATGATGCCACTTTGTGCTGTAATTCACCACATGTACAGAATCTTGCTCCGAAAAAATTGCTTACTTTGATTGGGGAGAGAAACATTGCATTAAAAGGACTTGAAATATTATTCTTAGTTTTATTTAGTGGTACTGCAATACAAACAGGCTGTTGGGACTCAGTTAAAGGTTGACTATGACAACTTAATAAAGTGAGGTAACTGCTTGACAGAGGTGAAAATTACAGTGATTAAAGGGGGACTAATTCACAACTTTGACAAATGGCTGCTTAATACAGGGTGACCACTTAGTACTGTGTCGCTTGATACAGGTTTGACTGCAAATTGTCATAACAAATTTAGAGCAATTAACAATACTGTACAGTACCTCCGAAGCAATACGCTAGACTGCTAACAAAACTCCATGGTGAGCTCCTTCTATCTAAATAGCAATTTAAAAAAAAGTGTTAGCTGGAATAATTTATTTTATTATTTATTCTATGAAAGAGTGTAACTATCGTTTCCTTTTTCTTTGAGCTAACTGAGTGAAACAACATCTGATGAATTCTATGCAGAAAAGGAAATAAGTAATAATGTTTGTGGCTCATTGCAGTTACAATGTATAGAATACATATTTACAGCAGTTAATGTCAGTAGTACAACCTGAAACGACGAGTGAAATAAATTGATGGTTGTGGGTCTTTACTGGCAGTGCTTTCAGAAATGTATTTCATAGCATATAAATAATAGTACTACCTTTATGAAGCATTTCTATTCTATTTGGCAAACTGGAGGGTAGTAGATCTAAGAAAGGACTAAGACTCATCTGAAAGATAAAAACAACTCTGAAAATATAGCCAAAGAGTTTACTCCAAATATTCTACAATGACACAATGGTTTTAAAGAACATTTAGAGATTGATTTAATAGGAAAATCTTATTAAGCTACAAGGCTACTTGCAAATGCACATAAATTTATAACTTTACTGTAGAGTAATAACATACAAAGAAAGTGGGGTGGCTGCAAGAATATTACACTTAAATCAGCTACTCTATATATAGCTAGTGAGAAGGCACTGACCAATTGTTAATTCAAATACCAGTGGTGGGAAATTTATCAGCCATTCACAATTTAATCTCACCTTCTGCATGTTGTTTGCCTTAAAAAAAAGAAATTGATAGTGAATTAGAATAAGTGACCACATTGGAAAGTTTAATATTCAGACAAGAAATGTTCAAAGCATGACAAAGTGTAACTGCATTTTCATGGAAAATGAGTAAAGTAAGATAGTTACATTCAATACCATACCTCAAACACTGGAGTACAATGAAGTTGCATCGAAGAATCATGAATTTCACATGAGGGTAAAAGAACAAATGAACAGTAACAGCCAATCTGAACTTCCCTGATAAGCTCATCTTTAAAAAGAAATAAGAAACAGAAAGATTTATGAGCCTGGAATAAAATAGAGTCAACTAGAATGTAAATGATGTCCATAAAAATGTAGATCAAAGGCTTTAAGTCTTTAAGTTTAGTGAATACCATGAAAACAAACCAAACTAAGATATGCAAAAAAATGGAGGTAGCATAACTTTAAAATGATTTTGAGCACTGGAATTTAAATGAATCACTAAGACTTGACCATTTTCCTGCTGACTAGCTGAAGTTGTTTTTCAATTGTTATACACTCTACCCTTTGGTCATGTCAACTAGTTCCCTCCTTCCAGTAGGAATTCTAGCTCTTTCTCTTTCTTCTACGCTTACCTCGGACATAGATTGGGATGGTTTGGTAAAATTCTCCCCACCCAGTGTTGATCCAAAGTTGGCTGTTGACTGTTAACGGTGATATGACTTGAACAATGCATTTATCTAGTGATATTAAATAATATCAATGACGAAAAAAAAATTAGGAAAGAAACATTTCAATTCCCCCTTTAATGGAAAAGGTTTCAAAAAATTAATCTTATCAGCTGGTTTCCTTACAGCTACCAACATTATTACCTGCTAAAGTACGGCAAGTAACATCTTCAAGTAGAGAGCATCCACAGTATCTACACACAAAATCACTCCTAACAAACACAAGATAGACCATTTATAAGTAATAATTATGAGTTAGAGCTAGTAATTTATCTAATTGAAAGGCAATACCCTAAGTTGTTATAAGTTGCCATAAATAAAAATTTTCTTAAAACTCTTTTGTAAGCCCCCCTTTAGCCTTAAGACTGCTCAATGATGAGGTCTGTAAGTAGACATTACTCTCTCAATAGCCCATTTCTGATATGTTTAGGCGCACAAGTCTGGAACCTAGTTTTGGGCACCAAAGCGAGGTTTGGGGGAATAAAAGGAAACTTGCAGATTCCGAAGAGCAAAACAATCATGAAATCTATCTTGAAAAATCTCTTAAAATATTTCCTCACAAGAAAAGAGCTGCTTCACAAGATCCCAAATGTGCAGCTTACCTTACAGTGACATTTTCTGTTTTTCCAGCCAAATGAACTCTGATATAACAATATTTCGCAGAACCAGGACAACTGGATTGAGGGCAATAGAATCTTGCACTTTGGCTAAAGAAATTATCAAGGAAAAGATTCTGTCAAAGTTCTCATATCTAACAATTGGATATTATTTTACACAAACTAACTCATTTTTAGAATTTTGATGATACGTGTATGGCCGCTATCGGCATAAAGGAAAAATTTCCATTCCTCAATAACATTTACTGGTTATCTTTCCACAGTTTTGTAAGTACTGGAAGAAAGGAGCCCTGATACATAAAAAAAATCCCTATTCTGACTTGTAGATTGCAAACCTAAGCAAATTTTGAAGGTTTCCTTAACAGTTCACCTACACAGTGAGAGTAAAGTGTTTTGCCTGGTAACACAACACTGTGATTCCTTGCCAGGAATGAAGCTCAGGCCAGTGTGTCTTTCATTATACCATACCATCTAGACCATGACAAAAGCTCTTTGTCTTGAACAAACTTCAATTTTCAGCTAAGAATCAATCGGAAAATGGACAGATCTTGTGGACTAAATTACAACTCACGTGTACTGAGTGACATCTGTGATTCCACTTATGATACCACATATCTTTGTGAGATTTGGCTGAATATTACCAACCAGATTCCTTCTGCTCATAGACCTGAGTTGAAAATTTATCAAAGTTATTTTCATTGTCCACTTGTCTATGAAGATCAACACCAGTCTGTTTCTCTTAGGTGTACTACAAATTACAGTATTAGTACTTAAATATTACACCTGGAGATGCTACAAAGCTGATCAGCCATAAGAAACTTGTTAAAGATACACTGTAAGTCCACATAACTAAACCTTGGCTTTTTACTAAAGATCTCTGCACATATGTACCTAGTTATCTTAATGTGTCTGGACTAATATTGAACATGTATGTACTTGATTGTGATAAAATCATTTTACAAAAATGCAACCTACTCTTTATAGAGTGGAACTGATGAAAACCTGACAGCAACAAGAACTTGTGAAGGGAGTATCAAATCTGGAATCCACGACAGAGTGTGAATAACAATATAACACACCTGTAAAGAAGATATTAGTGAACAATTTTATTATCAAAACACAATCTTCAGATATTATGGTTCTTTGCATTTTTAATTTACCAGCATTACTTTTGATAATTCGGTTTTGAAATTATAATATACCTGTAGATATATGTGTATATTAAAGTATGTTATTTTCCTTGTGATAATTCCATTAATCACCAGTAATCAAAGATAATTGTGATGAGCAGAAAGAAAAATAAAAATAAAATTTGTAAAAAGAGAATCACAAAACCTATATGGTTACAATTGAGCCTATAACCTCAGAAATGTGGGGAGGAATATTTTAAGTGGTTTTGAGATCCAATGACATTTACAACACACAAGAATACTGCCTGGAAAGAAATACTGCTATCTCAGAATTGCTAATTATACAGAGGTGCTGCTAGTTAATGCACTATCATATGACAGCTGTCTGCTTATAATAAGGACCTCTTTACTAATACCTCCTGAAACACATTAATGGTGCTCAAAGGCTTCATTATTGCCAAATTTCCAAGTGTAGCTGTGAAACAAAAAAAAATCTTTGATGGAAACTAATAATTAAGGGATGGCAATGTTTTTGTTCCTTGTAATTGTAGCTACATGTTGTAAGTGGTTTTTGAAAGAGAGTGTTTGTAATTACCACAATCCATACCATTAAAGTCAAGCAAGTGCATGAGATCCATTTCAAAGACAAATCTGTAAACAGTCCTTTCCTGAGGGGGAGAAGCAAAACACTGGTAATAAAGTCTTGTCCGAATATTCCTATACGAGAAACATTTCTGCACTATAATTCATCAGTTTAGGAGATTCCAATTATGGAGTACTATACTGATTGGGATAACATTTTAAAATACCTCAAAGGTAAGGTCATCTTCGATGCCCTTCTCTCAATCAATTCAAACGTAATGACATATAAGCATTTCCCCGTATAGAAATACTCATTAATAGGTTTTTTCTTTTTTTTTTTTTTGGTCGCAGTCTTAGCTTGTTCACAACTGCATAAGTGTCTTCACCGCGGTCAAAAGGTTTAAACTTACCGTGGAATCTGCAGAGTAATTTTCACATTGTTTTCTGAGCTGTTCAAAGATATCACACTCACAGAACCATTCAAAAGCGACTTCCAGAATACTCTTTACCTCCATACCTATTTCCCAATATAGCAGGCCTTCGATGTCGGGAGAATATAAAACGAACTCCGTAATAGTAGACGCAACATCGCAAGGCAACGTTTGTTTACAAATTACAGCTGTGCATGAATGGCATTTGGCAGCAGGTCCTGAGCGCGTCACTTTTCCCGCCTTTTCTTTGAGTAACGTCACCACCGTGGAAACGCTATCGACACAAAATGCGCACTGGCGTTTTCCAAGATGAACAATTTTTTTTACAGAAAGCAGCTTGGTTTCTTCTCAAAGAGTATTTTCCCAAAACTTCACCCAAAAATGTTTCGGCTCCTCCAGCATTTTATAACACCTGGGGCTCAGTAGGGGGTGTTCAGCAGATACGCATTTACGGTCGTAATTGCTGTGTAAATGCCACAGAAAATAACATGACGTTTCACATTAGAATACATGACAAATAACTGTTTCTTCGCGCAGTTGCAAATATCAGTTGCAGTCATCCTCCGTACGAAATGGTATAGTAGTTCATGACTTATGCATTGTAAAACCCCATGTCAGCCTGCCTTGTCCAGAACTGAGAATGCGACCATGCGATATCATAAATTTGCGCGGGAAGATCCGCGCGCAGTGACGTATCTGGGTTATCAAATTTAATGACGATCCCGAACTGGTAGTTCATCTCCGTCAAATTGTTAAAAGTATAAGTATCATAAGCCATCATTAGCCCAGTATAGCAGGCCATCACTGGCCCAGTAGTCGATCGGTGCAATATTATTTTAAGCTTATCATAGTTGATTACTAAACAAAAAAAGTCCGTACATGATTGGCCGCTTACTGGGCCTGTGATGACCTTCAGTGTAGTGTGCTATTGGAAGGAGCATGCGCAGAGAGAAAAAGGTCTCACCATTTTATTGAATAATCAAGACCTACCATAAGGTAGGTATACGGGTGGGTGATTGCAGCGTCTCAGCAGCCTTCTCTGCTAGAAACCTCGGTTCTTGGTTTGAAACAAAATTATCAATGGCTACCCACATAACGAAATTGTCTAGCTCTTGTTTTTATTATGTCTATAATATTCGGCGTTTACGGAAGTACATATCTAGACGGTGCACTGAGACTCTGATGCATGCATTTGTGTCATCTAGGATTGACTTTTGCAACAGTATTTTATATGGCATTCCTGACTATCGTTTAAATAAGCTTCAAAGTATACACAATGAATATGAATATGAATATAGTTTATATCTGACCACTTGCAGCCCAGAGGCTGAATTACGGGTGCAGTGTAAGGTTGAGAACAGACGTCAGCATATCAGGCGCCTCTGGCAGCCGCTTCACTGTCTATCGATCTCACCTTCCCACCTATCCCACCCCAGGGGAGGACATCCATCACACAGTAATCTCGTGTGTGGGAAATTAACGTCTCCTACCCCAACCCTGCAGGAGACGGGACCTCCATTTATTCGTCCCTATCCGAGAAGACTAGAAGATCCAACCATTTCTTGATGTTATAGAAAGGTAGCAAATTCTTCTCAATTGTTTTAAGACCTTGAGTGTTGGTCCGGCCGGGGCTCGAACCCTCGACCTCCCGCACAACAGTCCAGCGCTCTATCCATTGGGCTAACCGGGAGGCGGTTTAATGCTGCTGCTAGACTGGTTTGTCAGCAGAGTAGATACTGCCATATTACACCTTTACTTTTTGATTTACACTGGCTACCAGTTAAATTTCGAATTGTTTTTAAAATTCTTTTAATTACTTTTAAGGTTCTTAAAGGTTTGGCACCTACATATCTAGCCTCTTTAATTTCCATTAAATCACCTTCACGGTATGATCTTAGGAGTTCTCGTGATAACCTCCTCCTTAGTTATCCTAAAAAGTTGTCTAAAGTAACTATTGGTGATCGCTCCTTCACGTATGCTGCGCTGAAACTTTGGAACGCGCTTCCTCTGGAAATTAGGTCTAAAAACACTGTTGCTGGCTTCAAGTCTAAACTTAAGACACATTTATTTCGTGCTGCGTTTTCTTAGCCTGCCTAATATTAATTACTTTATTCTATTTTAGATGTTAATTATTCTATATATTGTGATCCTAACCTATTTATTGTTCTCTTAGTTTTTAACTATTTAAATAGTGCTATGTCGTAATGCGAATTTGAGCATATCCACATGGAATTTGCGCACTACAAATGCTGTATTATTATTATTATTATTATTATTATTATTATTATTATCATTATTATTATTATTATTATTATTATTATTATTATTATAAGGTAATTCCAACGAGCCTTTGGTTTTAATAAAGTGAAGGGCTGGAAAATATATTCCGCTCTTAGGCTTGGTTGATTCTCGATATAAACCTGGATACTTTCTACTCGAATTTCACGTTTTCTCTTTAAGCAGTGCAGCTAAATGTAGAAGATATTAATGAAGTACACGGTCTGTTTCAGGTCAGAGTTGTTTGGTCCTTTTCAAAAGGACAGGCTGGTACTAACATCAAGTGGGAGAGCTTGGTGAGATTCTTTCCCCAATAAATGGGATGGTGAGAGTGGAAAGGTATTGTGTAAAATTGATGGCCTACTTTTCAAAAATCCAACTGTTATGATGCAAGGAGAAAAAAAAACGAGATGTCGATAGAAACTTTTTGACACTAACTCCTATTGTAGAAGCTTAATTAGTTATGGGCGACGATTTGAAACCACCATAGAAGAAATTGCTATCTAATTGTCGCTCAAAAGGCAAGAGTCAGTTATGGAAAATTGTAAACTACATAAATAAATATGAATAAATGATAATAATAAGAATGAAAAAGGAACTGACACGTACTAAAACCGCATAAAAGATAACTACTCAGAAAAAAAGGGAAAAGGAATAAGATAGAAATAATAATAAGGGAAAAAATAGAAAAGACAGCAAAAACAAAATGCGAAATCCACGTTGAGGAGTTACTCGGTCCCCAAGCCAGTTCGAGAGTTACCCCTAGTCCGCCAGTTCTAAATCATGCTCAGGGAGAAGTGATTCGGCCCCCAAGCCAGATTAAGAATAACTCCTATAGGTGGTTTGCAACCAATCTCTAGAGACACAGGTAACAATGGTGAAAAGAACAAATGCTGGTGGACGAACAAAAGAAGCTAATGAGATATCTGTTGTTTACGTCCACCAACATGGCGGAAATGACGTAGCGTGCAAACCACCGTGATTCGAACCCGCAACCTCGCTGACCTCACTTGTACTAGTTGCACGCCCATCACCAGTCGACCATCTGGAAACTCATCATTAAAATAGCATAAGTGGTCGTGTAAATAGTTTTTAAAAACCGGGTTTGGGGTGGCGGGGTGAAGGATGAGGAAGTTAGTTTGAGTGCAGTGGAGCGTTTCCGGTCAAGAATAAAGGAAATGAATCATACAAAGAACTGATAGAGGCGATAGAAACGATGAATATTAGCATTAGTCGTAATAGCGGACGGCCCCGTTTGCCGGGGTTTGTAATTAAGCACAACAGTTACACTTTTGAAAGAAGCTATCTGGCGCGTGTACTTAGACTCAGTTCCAGTCTTCCACTATTTTTTTGAAGACCGCTGACCTTCACAGCTCTTTTTTTTTTCAAACAAAATCAACATGGCTGGGGCTCAATTCGAGTACGATGAAAAAGGCACAACTTTTTATTACTTTCTTATATCGTTCTTTGGTATAGTGCTTGTGCCCTTAACATACTATGTTTTTAAGGTCACAAAGTTACCAGGTAAGTTCGAAATCGTGCGAGTAACTTACTCATAAGGCGGCGGTAAAAGTTCCGGCCGCTTTGGCCCTCTTGCCACAGCATTGTCTCCTATCTTATTTTTATTATTTTTTTATGTTTTCACCGATTTACTTTGGATACCTATATTTCAGAGGATCAGAAGAAATCGATTAAAATCTGTAGATGCCCACCATGAGTGGAAAAAAGGGAATTGTTACGGAAAAAGGAGCCAAAATCGAAGAGTATTCGCTATGTGAGGTAATTTGTGACAATCGTACGTCTTGTAGTCTCAGAGTGACGTGTCTTTGAGATCTTCAATGTACTCCTCTTTTGTTTTTTTTTAGGGTGACTTGGTCAGATTCTTTTAATTTAAAATGATTAGATCTCGGTCATTGTTATTTAACATTATTTTGACGGAAAAAATCGCAAAATTCGAGGGTATTCCGTTATATTTTGTACATCTCCAAGTAATTAGACTTACCAGTTACATTTATGAACATATCTAATATATATTTCTTTACTTAGTTGTCCTAAATACAGTTTAGCTCCATCAAGTAAAATAATATAAAAATATTGGCATATTATTGCTACAAAAAGTACCTAACGTACTTGGAGCAAATGTATTCATTGTTTACCTTGAGAAATAATTATTGTAAGTTAAACTCAAATTTTCGCACACCTTAAAGAAAAAAAAAGGTAGAATACAGTGAATGGAATAAAAAATCAACCATTATATTGTTTCTTATCAGTATGTATTAATTTAACTACAAATATTGTGCCACTTCCTTGGCAAGCTTTTAAAAATAAATATATTGCATTTCGAGAAATTAAGAGCCTTTTTGTTACCACAGTTGGTACTATTAATATTAGTTCTAAGCTTAAACCAATTTAAGTTCAATGATCAAAGGCCATGTCAAATTTCAATTTTTTGATCCAGATATTAATTCCCCTTGTTATCTGCTATACCCTCCCTATTGATTTTGTTCTGAGATTTTAAAATTTGTTTTTCATGATTGTATACTTTACAGCATGTCAATGGACAAACCTTTGGTGGTTGAATTTTATCCTGTGTTCAAATGTGTTTTTGTTTCCTTTTTCGCAGGTGATAATGCATAACAATAAGTTTGAAACAGAGGAAAACAAAATCAGACCTAAAGACAACACTATGATTATATTAAAAATATATTTAACATATCTCTCTTATCTTAAAATAAATTTGTGCCCATTTTCTTTTAGTCTTTCAGTTATAGCAGTTTTATGGGCTCTATTTTTTATTGGAGCCTATAAAGTGTCTCAATTTGAAAGAGAATTCTCTGAATATGACCCATATGCTGTTTTAGAGTTAGACAGAGTAAGTAATTGCAAATAGGCGATTGCAGAAATGTGAGAGGACTGAGAAAGAGTGTGGTTGTTTTCCATTTGTTTGAAAAACTAAGATATTCAAATGAAAGATCCACTAAATTTGAGATTCTTAAGCAAGAATACAAGTATTTAGAGGAGGAAAATGGCAAAATGACAGCTTTTCAAATATCACCTAAAATAGAGAGTTTGTATGGATTGGGTAGACAGGGCAAAAAAATTTTAAGGGTTTATGGAACTTTTGCAACTTTTGCAGGGCTCCAATTTGGACACTTTTCTGCTGAAAACTCTCAAACTTGGCTGGGTAGCTTTTCATTCCGTAACATTTCAGTTGAAATATTTAGATTTTCAGTGTAATCAATATAAGAAACTCGTCCCAGTCCTCTCATGTTTCTGCAATGGGCTATGACTTGAGTTGACAAAAGTTTATAAATATGGTGGTTATGTGCATGTTCACTGTGGACTGATTTGAAAAGACTGATTTAAAAAGAGTTAAGATTTTTGTCACAACAACAATTGCCTGATTTTACAGACCATGATTTTGGTTGAGGGAGACCTGTTTGAAAAAAAATGAACCCCCTTTGAAAATCTGATCAGAAACAATGGATGAAAACTGTCTTTTGTGTAGTGACTCTTTGGTTGAAATAAGACCAACATAGTTGAAAATCTGGTCATGTCCAAGTTATTCCACTGAAGTAACAATATCATTGTCAAGGAAACAGTGTTGGCCAAGAGTGAGCTCTAAATCTTTTTCTGACCTACTTATTTTTAACTACTGATTTCAAGACAATTTGGTACACCAATTTACACTCAGTTGACTTCCCTCAACCAACATCAACAACAATCTGTTCCTTGCATAAATTGTACTCACAAAACTTTCAGTTATTTAGCTGATGAACAGACATTAAAAAAATATGTATGCTGTGACCTTTCTTCAATGATTGGATTTTGTGACTAGAGTGTGTACATCAAGTTTGTGATACTTGAACAAAAACTCCAGGAGAATTATCAGATTGAGTTCAGCTGACCACAGTCTCTGACCTTGGGAATGTGACCATGATTGAGTTACAATCGATACAATGAAAAATTGTCAATTACTTGTGAAAAAAATGTTAATGTTGAAAGTACATGTAATCCAGCCCCTCTCTGCTTTTGTATTTCCTCCCTGTGATCTGTGATTAGTCCTGAAATGTTGTGCAACTTTCCAAAAGAACCACATACCCAACTAAAACAGTCAATAATTAATAATGTTTGTTTTCCTGTATTTTGAGCCTGGTGCTTGTGTTAACTTTGATCCTCTTGGATGTTTCTGATATTTTCCTTCACTCTGAGTAGACATTGTGATTACTAAATTAATAAGAATTGATTTATGGAAACCCAGCTGAATAATAGCACCTTACTTATTAATTTCCCTTTATTTTCCATTAGGGTGCAAGCACAGCAGATATCCGTCGACAGTATCGCAGACTCAGCATGAAATACCATCCTGATAAAGACACTGGTGACTCCCAGAAGTTCATGAGAATAGCCAAAGCATATGAAGCGTAAGTTTAAAAAAAAACTTTCCACTTAAATCTCCCCAAATATTTGGGATCATTTTCAATGAAATGTGAAATAGCTCAATTGGTAGAGCACTGCACTAGTATCGCAGAGGTCAGTGGTTCGAATCCCGTACAGGCCTGATTTTTTTCAGGTCTGATTTTCGCTATTGCATAAATAGCGCTATCTACTGTGAGGATCGTGCATCATACGTACCTAATACCGCAGTTCAAAATATATGAACTTCATATATTCATTGTATCTCATTATACTACATGTTGTGTACATGTCAGATTCATGGAACCTTTTCTATAAAATATACTAAATTCAGCCTGCCAAGGCAAAACTAAATTAAATATCTCTCTTGTTTCCAGTCATGAAATCTTGCTATATTATTGTATCTTTAAATCCAATTTTCACTTCTAGGTTAACAAATGAAGAATCGCGAAAAAATTGGGAGGAACATGGGAATCCTGATGGACCTGGAGGTGTGTAAAACTTAGTTTTATCAGAAACTGTTTTTACATTGCTAAAATTAATGTGAAGGTGTAGTCTGATCGTCTGGGTGAGTGTAATCCTGAGAAGGACTGTTGTCGGTGGTAGTGACTAACATTTCGACAACCTGTGCAGAAGTCTGATGATGACTTCTGCACAGGTTGTTGAAACATCAGTCACTACCACAGACAACAGTCCTTCTCAGGACTACACTCACCCGGACGATCAGACTACACCTTCACATGTTACCCCCGGGTTCAAGCCATTTACTGCATTATGCTAAAATTAATGTTTATACTCTTATTCTGATTGTTATCCTGACAATGTGAGCATTTTACTGCAAGGAATGTTTTTGGAGATTTCTTTTTATTGAAGTGTTGTTTGAAGATATTCAATTATAATGATGATGGCTATCTTGGGTTGGTAAATATACATTTACATGTAAATAATACTGTCATTAGTTTACGGGAGAAAAGTCCACACCAAGATTAAAAAGAACAATTATTTTTAATTATTCCTTTATCTTGCAGCAACAAGCTTTGGAATAGCTTTACCTTCCTGGCTTGTTAGCAAGGAAAATTCTATGTGGGTTAGTTTATAACAATGAAATGTTAGTTTGTTAGCAATAGTTGAGACTATCTGTATTATTTAACAGGAAGACATGAGATTTCTATCAACAGATACACATGTAGTCATTTAAGACTAATCATGAAAACCTTAGTCAACCATTGTAACAGAGTGAACACAAGTGAACCTTATATTGTCCTGTTTGCAAATTACTTCTCATCTCATTTTCAAACTTAATCTTGGTGCTCATTCTTTTACTTGTGAAAAATCTCATGGCTGGTTTGATGCGGCGTTATTTTCCTCTCAACCAAGAGACTTGTCAGACACTTTTCAGAAATTTCCAGCAACTTGTCCAGCATCATGCTCAAAGTCCCATTCGCAAATCAAGATGTTAGCAGTCTGGCCCTTTATCGTGGAAGGATTCCCAACCACATGTTCATGAGTTACAATCTATACAACTTGAAAAATTGTCAAATACTTGTGAAAAAATTTCGTGGCTGGTAAGATGTGCTGTTTTGTCTCGGCCAATTACAAGATACTTATCAGATACTTTTACATGAAAATAACATTCCTTAGCAGATGGCATGAAAGGCATAACACAACTTAGAAATGGGCTACAGTTTTTTAATTACAAGGTAAAAGCCCTAATGAGCTTTATCAAGTTTTTTTTTTGGCAAATCATCTGATATTTTTAGCCTACTTTACTTTCAATGTAGGTTTTGGGAGCTTATGGATTTGCCTTCATGGTTATCCTTCCAATTGCAGTGGTAAGTATCCAACTTGATATTTGGACTATAGCATAATAGCTTATTTTCAAGGCAGGCTGATTTGTGTTTTCTTTGTTTAATGATTATGGTAATGTATCTGGAACAAATAGCAGTATGAATTGCCAGTTTGAGACCATTTTGACCTGAAATTCCTTTAATTTAAACCAGGACACTTTAACCATACATATTTGATAGACCTTGCTGTGCAACTTATGTATCATCAGGACTCTGACTAACAAATATAATTCAAATCTCTCAATTTTAAACAGGGGACATGGTGGTACAAGTCAATCCAGTATAGCTGTGAACAAATCCTTTTGGAAACCAGTAAATTGTACTTGTACTATTTTCACAAGACACCAACCATGCAGTCTAAACGTATGTTTACTGTATTTATTGTGAGAAAGAAAAACGACACAACTTAGTTCACTGCTCAAAGGATATTTTCAACGAACTTGACACTGCCAAGAAGAAAAAAATATCATGCATATTAAGCTACGTCACACCAGTTTTGGCATAAATCATTCATCACTGAAAAACTCTTAACTATCATGAGTGACAAACACAGATTTTCTCCCTGTAGTATATTAAATACAATACCAGACAGACAAGAGATAACAATTAAAAAAATGTATCAATTAGTGGATTATTAGCTTATCCAATACAAAATTCTCTGAAGTAACATTATAAGAATTGTATAGCAGAAAGTAGGGAGAATTACTGACAAGATCTTGGCAGTGAAAGGCTGAAAAGACTGTTAAGA